TATGTTCATGTGTCAAAGTCCAGAAGAACATCTAATATTTGAAGACCATGTTTATAAACTATGCAGAGCTGTTTACTGCTACTTTATTCTAAATAAAAAAATATATATATTTCTGAAGATTGATATGGTTCATTTGTTAGCTTCCAGCAGTTGAGACAGAGATCCATCTGGTCGTTATGTCAAATAATATCTATAATTAAATCTTAAAGAAATTAATAACTGCCTCTTTAATATTTTAATAAAATACAGATTTTCGCTTATATACCAGGTTCTGTAAAGGACATGTGTTTGTGAGAACATACAATGCAGGTAGCACAGCATAAATCCAACAAGCTGATGTGTTAAAATCAGTAGAATATGGAGCCTAGGAGGAAGTTCAACCGAATAAACTGATTACTTGCCTCCATCTGCCTACGAAACAGTCAACTGGCTTCAAACCACGCCACAACGAAAGCCGATCGGCATACAAAGTTAATCTCAAAAGGAATCTGATCCGCAACTCGTCTGCTACCTAGTGCGCAGGTGGTGGTTGCGCTGTTTGACTTCATTCAGATGACCCCATTTCAACCCACCTCCAGCCCCTCCTCCACCATCATAGCTAAGGCTTCATCAGAGTTTCATTCGTCCTGGACTCTTACTGCGTTCCACTTCTCATTTCAACCAGTCTGGCAGAAGACAGCCATGTTGAGCCTGGCTCTGCCAGAGGTTTCTTCCCAATGGGGATTTTTTCCTCTCCACTGTTGCTTCATGCTTGCTCATCATGGACAGGTTCTCTCAACCTGTGTTATCCAAGCTGGACTTCCATCTTCCAGGTCCCTGAGTGAAGCTCTAGTATCAGCTCACGCAATCCAGTGGATCTCACCATAAAGCTCAGCATACCGTCCCAATAACCAGCAGTCTACAGACCGACCAACTTCATCTATCTTCACTCCACAAACAGTTTCAGGCCTGGGGGGAAACAGCCCTATTCTCTGCTCCTGTTTATACATATCTATCAAAATTCAGCGCTATGTTTCCTGCCGACGTCTGAGCACAAAAGACTACCGGTAAGTTAATTGTATCAATAAAGTTCTTCTAATTGTCTTTTCTCTCCGTGTGAGTTTTTCAGATTGAAATGTCAGCTGTAGGTGAAGGCTAACAGTAGCAACCTTATTTTTTCTGAATTGAGTCTAAATCTAAATTATAACAAACCCAAACTTCGCATTTTTTTAAACTGTAGCTCAACACTACCAATCTGACAAGATTATAGCGTGAAATTATACATCTAAAGTGGTGTAAGAGGTCGTAAAAGTTAGGACAAACAGTCCAACAAGAGTTTATCATCTCTATGCTGCCACCCCCTGATAGGATCTTTATGACAGATGGGCCAGATCTCTCTGGAAGATATCATCAGGTTTACAATCAAATCTATTTAGTTCTACTACCTTCAAGGATAAAAAGAATTTATAAACACAAAAAAGAAAGGTTGCACCATCGGGGTATATTGTGATGTCTGGCTAATCGTTATCAGCTTCTTGTATGGGGTTCATAAATTTCATTGCAAAATAAAAGTTCCTCAGGCTTCAGGGATACAGTTTTTAATAAAATTTATGAAAACCCTGCAGTGGGAATTGGTCTGGATGATTGTGATCATGAGAATATGATTAGTTTATCACTTGGTGTTCAAATCCAGACATAATGGGAACCAAACAATAGTCTTCAACAGTAACTGTGTTTCTATTTCCCTTCTCATACTGTTTCAGAGACAACATTAAAGCCAAGATGAGAGCATATTGTATTTACGGACAATACAAAAATAAGCATGGGGCTGCTTTAATCAGGCTCCTCATACCACATCCAATCCACTGACAATAATTACAGCCTGACAATATAAACAGGCTGTGGCCAAGGCTAACACGCAGATCAGGACAAGATGAGTTCATTTCTCCAAACTATCAGCTGCCGGGCTGGCCATGTAAATATAAATAAAGAGCAAACCATAACCAGTTTTGCTTATCTAATAAGGAAACCACATCAGCTAAACTTAATTTTCCTTGTTCTTTATTAAAGAACTCTGGCACTTAGTCACTTTTTAAAACACTGATTTTGGTGAATAAACACAGTAAAGGAATCACTGCAGGGTCTTGTGGTACTGAAGACAGACAGATTTTATATTAGTCATTTTGTAAACAAAAAGGAATTTCGTTAAGAAAAGCTCTCTAGACTAAAGTGCAGCCTGGCATTGAAGACTGGCATTGTGACTAAAACCAGCCTTAAGAACACATTTTCAAAATAATATTTAGTGCCTCAAATGTGCTGGGCTGATTTTTGTTTTTCTACACCAGTGGATCTCAAACTTTTTTCTATGAGTACCACCTCAAATCTCTGTGGCATCTTTAAAGACCACCATAATTAAAATATCTGCCTATTTTGCCCAATGCTGTGTCTTATGTCTTTACCGATATTTTATGTTTGAAGTATATAAATATAATGTATACTGTTCATAGCAGTATTTTGCAACCAAAAATCTAAACTGTACTGTGGAAATGGATCTGGATCAATAGAGGAAAACTGTTCAGGGGTGTAGTGGGTAGCACTGCTACCTTGCAGCAAGAAGGTTCTGGGATCAATTCCCGGCCTGGGGTCTTTCTGCATGGAGTTTGCATGTTCTCCCTGAGCGTGTGTGGGTTCTCTCCGGGTACTCCGGCTTCCCCCCACAGTCCAAAAACATGACTGTTAGGTTAATTGGCTTCTCTAAATTCTCCTTAGGTGTGAGTGGGAATGGTTGTTTGTCCTGTGTTGCCCTGTGATGGACTGGCGACCTGTCCAGGGTGTACCCCGCCTCTTGCCCATAGACAACTGGAGATAGGCACCAGCACCCCTTATGACCCCACTTGGGATAAAGTGTGTCAGATGATGGATGGGTAGAGGAAAACTTCAGTCTAAGATCATATTCTATATCTAACCTGCTTCTCTGTCCTCTGCCAACACACTTGAATTATTGGCCGGAAGAAAATCTAAGTTAGTTAAACTAGTTACAACCTGTCTGCACAGCATGCATCAGTGATTACACATGCAAGGAAGGTCCAAGTACACAGTAGTGTGCCGCAAAGTAGGTCCATCCCACCCAAAAGTGCAAACCATACAGGTCAAGCGTAGGGTGTAGTAAAGAAGAGCCAACTCAGTCCCTAATCGTGCAGCTTCAGGATGGGCTCCATTATTCTGACTCTAAGTGTGATGTAATGAGAGAAATAATCAGAACGCTTTGGTTGTGTCCGCATTGTGTGTATTTTCTGCTCCTTTTTAATCACCTGCTGCATTTGAATTTCTCTCCAGTCAAAAAAGATAATAAGTAAAGTACTGATATCCAACACTCACCAAACACTTTATTATGTACACCATTCTATTATCAGGTTGAATCCCTTTGGCTCTCAGAACTGCCTCAAAGTAATCCTTCATGCAATATGTTTGTTTTGGAAGTATATTGACATGACAGCATTGGAGAGATGCTGCTGATTTGTTTACTGCACATCCATGATTTAAACCCTGGTTCCGCCACATCCCAAAGGTACTGTATTTGACTGAGATCAGGGACTATGGAGGCCATTTGAGTAACATAAATTCAATTGGTATGCAAACAAAGCTGATCAATCCAAGTATTACCATAGATTAAATTCAGAGCACAAATAACTTATTAGTTCTTTCAGACTCTTTCACCATGAGAATGATAGCTCTCCTCATTTGACTCCTCCACCTTGTTATGCAAGACAACACAAGAGCTATTTCATCCTAAAGCAGTTGGGTATTGCTGAAGGCATAGATAATGACTATCAGCAGCAAAGCACATTAAAGAACATGTATATCAAAAGCCTTTTAGGTATAAAAAAGGGGCATCCTTTCTTTTTTTATATATACAAATAACTATGGCAGAAAGGTAAACTACAGTTTTAAATAAACCATTAGCTGCTTGGGTGAGAGATTTCTTTCTATCCTTCTACCTCTCTGTAATCCCTGCAGAGACATATGCATGAGAGTGCTAATGACTATGATTAAGGAAACACGGATTAGGCCCTGCTGTGGTTGGTGCATGCTATAGTGCATGTGCATACATACAACCAGACAAACAGAAAGCAGAGCCTGTTTGTGTAAATCTAGAGAAACCCCGAAAACCCCAAAAATATACACTAACAGATGTACCACTTAATTAAAGCGTGAAGTCCATACAAAGGCTTTTCTACAAAATAGCGCTAAATGACACCAATTGGAGTAAACACAGCTAAAACCAAATCATTACTCATGTTCAATGATGGAGCTTCTGGGATAAACATCTTAACAACGTGGGTGTGCTCATGCAGTGCAAAGACCTCAGTGAGATCACATTTAAAATTACATTAAAGGGATTGCAGTTTCAGGAGGTATTTACGAGCCTTAACTTCACAATTACTTTTGCACAGTTTTATATCAGAAAACAAAGGAAAAAAAGGGAAAAATTACATATATAGGGTGCTTTTTCTAAGTACAATTTTCAACTTAAAGTACACTATGTTATTTTACATGGAAAGACTAATATGTTATCTCCTTTGTGGAACAGGAGAATTGCTGAATAATGTGCTCAGTGGGCCAAAAGGTCAAATTTCTAGTCTGATAAAATTAGGCTCAAATGTCTGGGACAGTAACAGTGGCCGCCTCAGATAGACGAAATAAATCAGCTAGCCACACAAGAGAGTCACTAAGGGGTACCAGAGAGAGGGGCAACAGGTGGCTGTCAACTTAGAGAGAAAGAGGGCCATCATCCACTTAGAGAAGGGCGGTGATTCTGTCTATCACTCCCCAGGCTCCACTAAGCTCAGCCACAGATCAGCAGGGGGACAGAAGCCGCCACACTAGAGGCAGTTTCAGACAAATATTTACGACTGCAGCAAGTTTTAACTCATGACCTGTTATGAAATCAATCAGACTCTTGTAAAAGGATTATCAATTACATCTTGGAAAAGCTTTTAATGTAAATAAGCGTCAAAGTATCAGTTACACAGATTGTACTTAAACCCTGAAGATAAAAGAATCCACAAACAGAAGCAAACCTGATCTCTCCTTTAATTAGTGTGAATACCACTAATTCTTTGATCAGATGCCTTATATTAACAAATGATACTTCATGTGTTGCATCTTCCACTCAAATCAAAACTCTGACTCGGATCATGTTGACCTAATTTAAATAAAAGCTGTCTATGTGGATTTTAGCTAAATTTAAAACCTGACAGTCAGCACCTTAATAACTTTAGCAGATCTGGGGTTATTTTTGCACTTGAAGCCTGCAGGAGGGGTGTGTGTGAGTGTCTTAAAGACTTATTCTCCTCTTTCCTCTGCTACTGCTTCAGACATTATGTATCAGTAATAAACTCTGCTAGTTAATCACTTTTTAAAGGGTACTTTAGTCATTAAAGACAACAAAATAATATTAAACAAGCTAACAAAACAAATAGCACCCACTTATCAGCGGTGTATTTCCAGAAAGGGGCGGAACAGGCAAGTCCATGTAGTTAAATTGAAATCTGAAAGCCAACATCTGAATCAGATTGGGGGCACATGTGTCTGAGCACATGCAATTGCGCGTGCGTGCTTGCATGTGTTTCCACTCAGTTCTTTGTGCTGGTTCCCTCACATTACTCAAAGAACACAGAGACTCTCTCTGGCCCACGCTATTTCTCTGTTTTTTAGTGTTGTTGAAGTGTTGTTAATTGTCACTCAAATTAAAGCTCCTGACCTGGATCTGCCATAGTGTAAGTTCAAAAAGGATGTAAAGGAAGCAATCTGCTTCAATAGAGGTAATTAAAGCTAATATTATGTTTGATATGTGGCAAATTGATCTGCAGAAAATAAAATATGTAATATGTATAATTTATGTCAGGGTAAATTACTTACCAATGCAGGCATGAACTCTGACAGAAAGCTTTGATCGAAGAATAATGCTGTGCTTCTTGCCCCGTCTGTAAAAAGATAAAAAGGAAAGTGCATGAGAAATTGCATTTCTGATACCTAACTAGAGATGCAACAAAACATGCAGTGGTGAAGAAAATTGGACTATTTTCTGCTGGACTAATCGTTTATCAGCTGTTTGTTAATGAAACGGCTGACATTATTCTAATGTAAAACTCTCCAAAATAGAGAATTTTTTTGCTTTTGCTGCTCTGTTAAACACTACCAGGTCATGCTGACAAGAACACTTTTCAGTATAGATACCCTTACTGAGGGAAGAACATTTTAAGTTGGCTATTTTATCATTCTTGAGGTATTTAAAAATAAAGTCAGTGAAAGTCTTCAGATATGGCAACTTACAAGAGGAAAGTTTATTTTCTATGACATGTCTCAGATTAAAAGTAGTGGTATGCATAGAATGCATACCACTACTTCTATGAGAGCAATGTTTTAGAAATCAAAGCTGAAAAAAACACAGATCTCTAAGATGCAAGAGACAGCCTAAAATTTGAACACAATTTCAAACTGAAAAACTCACACGGAAAGAAAAAGAAAACGAATCTTGTTGAGAAAATTATTTGAAATATTTGGTGCTCAGGTCTCGGCAGGAAACATTAGCACTGAATTTTACTTTAATATGCTTAAGCAGGTGTATGGGAAGAGGGATGTTTCCCTCCAGACCTGAAACTGGTGGTGGAGTGGGAATAGATGAAGTACGTTCAGTCCATAAACTGCTGGTTGGTGAGACGGTACGCTTAAACTGAATTGGTGAGATCCAGTAGACTGTGTGAGTTGATACTAGTGCTTCACTCGGGACCCGGAAGATAGATGTCCAGCTTGGATAAATACAGATTTAAATGTACCTGTTAATGATGTGCAAGCATGAAGAGACAGTGGAGAGGAAAAACTCCCCTTTCGGAAGAAACCTCTGGCAGAACCAGGCTTACATTTTTACAAAAACACCTGATGTACATAATGAATAGGAACATAAGGAATACTAAAATAAAACTGCTAAAATGCTTTTTTCAGGTCTACTTATACTTTAGTACAAGTGCTGAAGTTCTTATAGGAGGATAAAAGGGAGACCTCAGAAACTCACGGCCTTATCTAAAGACATATATAAATTTATAAGTACGGTAGCAGGAAAAACATTAAAACAATTCAGTCAGTAACAATATGATCATTTTATTTCTTTAATTCAAACAAATGAGTCAAAATATGATACTGTAACAAGACATAATAATTTAGTTTAGGGCTGAAACAATTAATCTGATTAATCGTGATTAATCAATTATTGAAATAATCATCAACTAATTTAGTAATCGATTAATCAATAACTTGAGTACAGAGACAACATGCCTTTAGCTGACAGAGCAACCCACTTAGAGCAGCTATTACACCAAAATTGTAAAAAAAAAAATATATAAACATTTTGCATTTAAGATAAAAAAAAATGTATTTATCTGTCAGTATGCTCTATCCGAAAAAGTGGTACACTTTTAGTTTCACCCGGTTTAATTTTGTAAAAAAAATCTTCTTTAAGGAACCTTTGGTTATCTGATTATTAATTGATTAAACTAAAAAAATTATCAACAGATTAAATAATTGTTAGTTGCAGCACTAATTTAGTTTAAGTTTGGGGACCAGAAAAAAAATTTGGGTTGAAATAAATACAGAGACCGGACAGATGGTTTAATTTGATGCTCAAAGTGGCTTATTTGTTAGGAAGAGGTTAGATAGTTTTTCAACATTAGTATTTGGATAACAACAAACCAAAGCGGGAAAGTACTTCTTCAAAACACACCAAAAATGGGAGCAACTTGGAGGTCATCTCCACCCCCTGTGTTAGTGGAGATTTGCCAAGACCGTATCACCATCATGTCAGCTACTTACAATAGTTGAATGACAGTTTTAAAAAAGACAGCTACAA